CTCACTAACAGACCCCCTCCCATTGGGTCTGGGGGTTGTTCTATATAGGTAAAGAAGAAGCAGGTGGTGGCAACCATCAGTCAGCCCCCTCTACAGGGTCTGGGAACGACTGAGGAAACCCCTGCAATTTCATATAGCTTTTAATTTATGGGATGGAAATTATAGAGGGAGACAGAGGTGGGGGGTGGGAGAGAGTGTACATATATGTATATGATGAAGCAAACATGTGAGCCTGTGCAACAGCGTGGCTCACTGATGTGTTTTAATAGTTTTTAGACAACAAAGGAGCTCCTATTATCAGACATTGGCTACACAGGCAATACTAGCGTGTTGACACCAAGAAAAATACTGAATATCCCAAGCATTATTCTTTTAGCCTGCAGTAAACTCCAAATGTAATTGTATTTGCATCCTCTTGGCAGTGCTGCTACATACAAATGGCTGTATACGTACTTATTGCAGCAGGAGGATTAATGAGGAAGAGATGCCTGGAGGAGCCTGTGAGGTACAATGGAAAAAAAACTGTTTATGAGTTTCCATCTTGACTCACCAGCACTGGTACATTTCCAGTATCTATATAATTCTGAAACTCTCGCCTGCTTCTTAATACAAGAGCGAAGCCGTTGAGGAGAATTACAGTAAATAAACATGCCATTCTTGATAAGCAAGGAAGTATTGAGTAACAGTGAACCTGGCTTTAAAATAACAATGAGTCGCTTTGTTTTGGGTGCAGCTTCAGATCCGTTTGGCTGCAGGCAAGCGCTACACTTGGCCTTAATCGCCACAGTTTGCACAGCCTTTTTTCACAGCTTCATTTAATGCCCCACAACATATTTTTAACAGCAGCTGTAACAAGTTGTCAGTTTGTTTTTTGTTTGTTTGTTTTAAGTCATATCTGCACCATCAAGAAAACAGACCTGAGTCTCAGCCATGATTCAACATGAGTCTGAAAACAAACTCCTCTGGTTTGTTAGAAATAGTCAGTCATACTTCAGAGTGTGTGCATGAGCAGCTTAATCATATGTGAACCTCGGGATTATTATTTATGAGCGCAGGCCGGGTGTCCATTGTTTCCACGGGGTGACCAGCTGTGGGTCTGCTACACAGAGGGATGTGGAGCCTCCAGCCTGCACACAGCAGATCCCCTTTTGTCTTGGCCTGGGTCATTAAGAGAGGACAGCCTGGGGACTGGACCCCTGCTGTCTGGAGACCCCACACCCATCCCACACACACACACACACACACACACACACACATTACACATACCTCCAACCGCCATCTGGATGCCTCTTGTTGGGACCCTTCAGTTCTGCTGTTGAAGTGTTGCATAAAAAGAGTGTGGACAAAACACAAACAACAAATCTGCATATTAATGAGAAAAGAGCTCAAATGTGATTCAGATGTCAACACACTGCTTAACTGTCAGTACCTGGATTTCAAAAAAGCTCAACCGGACCTCCTTGCCTAACCAGTAAACTTGCCAGACCAGTAAACTAACGATGAGAAGCTCTGTCTCAACAGTTCTTTATTCTACTTTCGCCCACCTGTTTTGACTGACTCTGAATTTGAATTAAATAAACCCGCCTTTGAACCATAGTTATCATACATGTCAACGAGTGTCACTCCCACTGTGACTGCTCTAACTGGTCCACCTCTGTTTACAGCTCAATGACAGTTGCTGTGTTTGCTAGAACATCAGCAAACAAAGAGACAACGGACCTGTCAGCCTGATTACTGTTATGACAAATATTCTTAGATGAATGCAGGGGTGCTCCGTTCCAGCCTTAATTGACTCCCGGCTATTATAGCTCAGTAATGCACAAACATGAGAGTGGTATTGATCAACTCATCTAACGCTTGGCAGAGACAGTGATTAGGTGTATTCCCCAAAGTGTCAAACCGTTCCTTTAAGAGAAGATGGCTAATGTCTGCTCAGAGAGTCTTATACCTCTTTCTAACTGGATGTGATGCGAACGAGCAAATGAGCAAACATCAGATTGTATTCAGTGTTTCCTAACCTGCTCTGTTCATCAGCAAACAAGCGATGTGTCAATTGCTTGAACATCTGCTCACCCTGGTTCTATTTTTGCGAAGCTTCGTGCACTTCCAACCTGTTTTCAGACCAACAGCAGGCTCGATCATGGCTCAAAAGGCTCCCTGAATGTTCTTGTCACTTGTGGTATATCTAGAAAATTTTTCACATGCCATCTGCCAGAGTTTGCTCGCTCGCTGTATGTTAGGAAAAGGTGTTAGGGCCCTGACACACAAGCAAACGTCAGCCTTTGGTCAATGTTGGGCCATTTGTACTCTTACTTAAGCATGAGTTTAACCTGTAACACAGATTCTACACTGTAGTATTGCTACTTTTACTTAAAAGATATGAGTGCATCTTCCACCACTGTCACCGGGTGACCTTGACGTTGTTGTAGACTGTTTAAACATGTGTCAGTCTGTTATTCAGAGTCAGTTGCACTACTAATAATGATGTGGCCAGGAGCTGGTTCTTATTCAGATCTGTATTTAGACTCTGTTGTCAAATTAGGTGTCAGGTGATCGTAACATTACTTCTTGTCTTTGCTTTTTGTACACACAAACATGAGGAGGAAAACCTTGGACATTTTAATTGTTTCACATATTAGCCTGATACAAACAATACAAACTGACAGATTATGTTTCTTTCTGTCTTTTTTTTTTTTCGTCTTAAATTGATGACTCATCAATTGACAAACATTTCGTGTCAGTTTGAATGTGGTGTGTCAAACTGAGGCCGCTTGACAGCTAATTCCCAGGCTGCTCTCTGTTGCTGGTCAACCCCTGGCCAGGTATCACACAAATCTGCAGTGGTAGAAGAAGTATTCAGATCTTGTACTTCAGTAAAAGTAGCAGTACTGCAGTATACAAATGCTCTCTCAAAATCTTACTTCATGAAATACTAAGCCTACAAAATGAACATTTGTTAAGCAGTTAGTCATGCTGCGTTACCTTGAATTCATGAAGAAAAACGTTTACTTTTTCTCTGATGCCTCCACAGAAAATGGCAAATAATGATTTGTTGTTTGCTTGTTGATCACGTTTGGCAACAGTGAAACTACATGAAAACATTAGTTTACAAACTCTCACACAACTCCTGCAGGATAATCTCATTTATCCAGTCATATGCTCAGTACTCCCCAAACAAAAACCTGTCTTCAACACTTTACCATTTAAAACTAAACTAACAGTCAAACTTATCAAAGCCAGATTCCAAGGCTAAGATTTTTTTAGAAGAAATGCAAGATTTTGGGAAGTACTGAGCAAACAACTGGATACATGAGCCTTGGATTATACTGCAAGAGCTGTGTGAGAGTTGGTTAAGGGATGTTATGGCAGAGTTTTGATGTTGTTAAACATGGCCCTCAATCAATGAATAAATCAGTATGTTCATTTTTTGTGAATGCATGTGAGAAAAACAAAGCTTTCTTTGCAAATTCAAAGTAGCTTCAATGACTGAACTGTCAATGTCATCTTAATAACGGTCTTGTTGCCTAAAATGCAGCACCGTTTTGAACTATGTAACCAACTCCCAGCACGTGTTAGCTAGGCTTGATAAAAAATTTCCACACAGCAGGGTTACAACTAACCCACCTGTAGCACATTTTCTCTATTTTTGCACTTCAAACTTCTGTTCAGTTTGAACTAATGTCCTAATTAAATGAGATATAGCCTACTTTAAATTTTAAATTTGTCTGGTATCTTACTGACATATAGTTTCACAGTCTTGTCAGTATTCATACATTCAATACTCATATTTTGACATGTGGACCTAGGTTACCCAATGAACTCTGTCTCACTCTGAAGTCGTCAAAATCTGGTGCTTGGCTTGACTTGCAGTGTCAGAAACAAACGAAAGAGGCATCCTTTAACGTCGGCATGATTCGCGGCCGGTTGCCGTGATTGTTTAATGCCTCCCAGCAGCAACAGGGGGAAACACGGCGGGACAAGGACGAAAGTTAAGGCGGTGAAAGTCCAACTGTGTTGGGTGGGAGTAGTGGTGGATCGGTCCAACAAACACTGACTTTCACCCAAGAGAGTGATATGTGCATCGTGTAAAATTCAAAAGCCAAACCCTGCTCTTTTATTGCCTAAACCTAACCATGTGTTTTTGTTGGTGAAGGAAAAAATAAACTCAATTCGCAGTGTTGTACCGATGTTGTTCTGAAAGAGTCTATGTAAATGGTAAATTTCCTGTGAAAGCGGAAGTGCATTTTGAAAGAAGACAATGCATGTAGCAGGCAGAACTTGTGTCCCAGAAAGTCAACAACCAACACACCCAGGGTACCTCGCACATCGTATGTGGACATGGAAAGTCCATGACCAAATGCATATATGTGACGAGGTCGGAGTGAGAATGTGCACCAATTCTCAGTGCAACTGTAGAAAAAAAAAGCCCTAACCGAAAAAACAAATAAATAAAACGTCAAACAGTTTAATAACATTTAGCCAAAACTAAAATGTGTTAGGTTGTGCCCTGCTCTCCCTTATTTAGGCTTCTGCTGGGCAGTTTAACCTATAATGATGCGTCATAATTTATTCATTATTTTAAATTTTGTATTAATAATCTAAGTCTGCAAGGTAGTAATTTAACTTATCAGATGAATGTAGTGGAGTAAAAAGTACAATATAAAGTAGCATAAAATGGAAGTACTCAGGTGAAATACCTCCAAACTGAGTACTTGAGTAAATGTACTTTGTTCATTTCCACTGCTGCACATATAAGCCTGTGCAAATAGCTAAATCAAACTACTTCAGAAATCTAGTCTCGGTATTCAACAAGAGCTCACCTGAGTGAAATGAAGCCATAACCGGTTTTGGGGGTTTCTGTGTGCGCGCGCGTCTGTCTGTCTGTCTGTGTGCGTTCGTGCCAGCCTCGCTCCGCCCCGAAGCAGCGGCAGCAGCGCAGCGTCATCACCGCAGACAAGCGTTCAAAGAAGGAGTCGGCGCTTCAACCAGAGACTCTTCAGTCGTCGTCCGCGGGAGCGAAAACAGGAGCGACTCACGGTGGGGGGAAAAAAACATGGCGAGGTTTTTTTAGCCGGTGAGAAAAAAAGTCGCATGGATTTATCCAACTTTTCCGCCATTGTTGGGATGAAGAAGGACGGCTGAAAACAAGTGAGTTAATCCGGTCCCGGAGGAGTTTTCTGTCAGGACTTTAAAGGAGAAACTACGGTCACATCACGGGCGACTATCTCACCGCTCCCAGAGGTAAACTACCAACTCTACTGAGGCTTTACGCATCAAAGTGTAAACCAGGGTATAAAGAAAACATATGTGTTTATAATTAAGGCTGCCTGCTTGTTTACTTTCATTAAAGGAAAAGAATAAGTAGGCTGCAACATAAAACTCCTGTGGCGAGACACACGATATGCAATAGAAATATGAAAGCAGCAAAACAGCATTATCCAAACATATGGCGAGGTGAAGCGCTGAAACGAGCTGTGGACATGGGTTAGTTGGTCGATATGAATTTAATTAACAACTCTGATGAGTGATTGTTTGTTTTAAAACATTTATCAATCCAGAAATAGCAAACATCCGTTGTTTACAGCTATTAAACGCAAATATTTGCGGCTTTTCTGTGTTTGTATAACTAGAAATTACAAAGAAAGTGAATATATTCAGTCTAAACTCGTAGCTTTGGCTTTTTGGACGCTTTGGTAGCTATTTTCCACATTATTAGATATTCTTTAAAAGAAACAATGATCAATTTATGATGGAATTAACTAACAAATGAGTCACTAGCTTTGGAAATATTCATTAGTGGCTGCCCTGGTCAGTGTAAACACTCACATAGTTTAGTGCCAAGTATCCCTGAAACCTCCCAGACTCCAACACAAACACATAATGTATGTTCAAGGCAGAAAAGCAGGCCAGCGTTAATCCAATATTTGGAGGAGATAAGTGAGAGAATACTTTCTGAATGCTGCTTTTGTCTGCCTGCTGGCTCTTTTATTTCTGCCAACCTACATTCCTAATCTGGAGATCCTCCTATTCCAGTAGCAGTAGTAGTCTACTCTTCCTCCGTCTCTCTCCTCTCCCTCTTCACTCTGCGATGCCATATGTGCTCTCCAAGATAAAAGTTTTTAATCACATGAGCAACATTTTCCAGAGTTGCTGCACAGATGTGTGTGTGTCAGCACGGCTATGTTTAGACAGAAAAACCACACTTTGGATGAGTAGCCGTCATCCAGCCGAGGGTGAGTCTCTGTCTCTCTGGTAAATAAAAATGGGGACCGGACAGTGAATGTTTGTAAAGCAAATGACAACAGAAGCTTAGCTTACGCAGAGCAGTCACATAAACTGGCTTTCATTTGAGCAAACCCCATTTTTGGACTATGCTCTAAATTTAACACCGTTTTATATGGAAAATATGAAATGTATGAGCAAACTGATTGGCTTGTTGAGTAGGTTTGCTCACTTTTCCCATCACACACCACATTAATCTAAGAGTTAATATCTTGGATTCATATCTTGTTCCATTTATATCTTCCTGCTCTGCACAACAGGGCGTAGTAAAGATGATGACTCCTTTATTTTCCTTTCAGATATTACTGATCTCTGTTTATCAGTATGATGTCCCTGACCTGCGTGATTAGTAGGTTGTGGTGTAGAGAACAGTATGTACACTGTGTATGTCTTTTGTTGTGTTGTATCAGATAAAGGAAGTTAAAATGACACGTTACAGGGTTTTTTGTGATTTGAGGTAATAGGGAAGAGCATGTTTGGTGGTTCTGATTTTTAGAGATTGGAGTTGTTGCTGATTTAGCTCAGTATCAGGTTGCTGTGGTTGAGATAGAGCAAGCCTCCAGGAGCAGCACCTGGCTTTAAAACTGATTTGATGTCGTGGGCAAATGTGGAATTTCAATGTCCAGGTCCGTCATGTGATGCCACGGGGCCCAAAAAGACTTTCCTATAACTCAGTGGATGAACCGTTAAAGCGTCACAACACACACGAAATTACTACAAAGTCTTGAAGAGCTGCGAGATCAAATCGTCTTTATCCCCGTTCAAGTTAACAAAATGCTAAACCAGAAGTTAGCCGCTTTGTCGGTGGAAGTCTCTCGTTTGTTTGCTCTGTTGGCTCCACAATTCGGAACATCCAGGTAATTTCATATTGCAGAAGTCAAGCTTATCTGGCTTCATCAACAATGCTTTACAGGAGAAGATTACACACAACAAGTTGTGCCAGTGGTATGAAATGGTAGACACTCCTGGGGCCTTATTTATAAAACAATGCGTAGGATCAATACTAAAAATGTACATACAGGCCATCTGCATTGCCAATTTCCCATCCCCAAAATGTTTGTAACTATGGGTCAAAGTTTGTCCCATCAGGTCTGTTATTATAGATCACAACCTTTGCGTGGGAAGTGTCACGCACCTCTTTCGGGCTTCATTTTGTGTGTGTGTGAAATGTTATAAATGAGAGCTCTAGTCTTGTAAGTGGGCACAACCATCTCTTCCTCTCATCCCACACCCTTTTTTGAAGTGTTGTGAATATTGTGTGGATGGATGAAATGTGATTCAAAACAATACAACACTATATTCAGTATATATTTAATGTTTGTTCCTTATTTTGCCGCTTGTTTTTATCTGCTAGCTTGATGTCTGATAGCATCTGTGTACAAAATCATTACAGCTGCTGCCAGATCTTTATTTACCTGTGATTTGTCTTTCTGAAAAATGCCATGTTAGTGTCCGAAAGTTCAGGAGATATGTATCAGTGACTTTGGGGCGAAAGAAAAATGTGCTGACATTCACTTCTCCTACTGGGATGAGGAGACACAGGATGGGCGCTAGTCTCCTAAAGGGGTGGAGTGGTGGCAAAACACGTGACGCAGGAAATTACTCTAAAGTGAGCCATCTCATTTATCAATGATCTGTGGCTTCATGCGCCACTGAGAAACTTTCATAGCAACTTATCATACATCTAGGACATAGACGTGTTGCGTAACCAGGATTTTACTGTGCTGTATCGTATGATCTATCTTCCATTTTAAATACACGAAAGGTTAGTTTGCATCGCCCAAATGGTCATCCCAAAGTCATTCTGCCGTTTAGACACAGCCAGCACTCTGCATTAACAGCCAACTATGTCTCCACAGCACATGTAAAGTGCTTACTTTTAGATATTTGCTCATGTCCTCCAGCTCAGTGAGCAGGCACAAGCTCCAGTTTCCCACTCAAGGACACTTTGACCGTCGCGGGATGTGCAGTCACCTGTTGATTAAATTAAGCCCGTGACCTTTTTGGATACAGGACATTTCTCTGCCCACTCTGATGTTTTCATCTGATCTAATCTGTGGCACTTACTGGTCCCCTCCTCATTACTATTCCACACAGTCCTGACAGTGGCTGACTAACCGTTTCTAGTGGAGAGGAACAGGGATGAGTAATAACAGTCATCTACATAAGAGATTCCTCCTAATGTGCTCAAGAACACTAATGTCAAAGGCAGGTCAGCTCTTTATTTAATGGATGTGCATGACTTTGGTGAATAGCAGAACACGGGCTGCTTTATGCCGGCCTTACGCCAAACGACTTTTCAAGCAGTTCCACTGTCGCAGACAAATTTCCAATGTCAGAATAAAATCATGACATATTACCTCAGTTGGCTCACACTTCCATGATCTCAGTCATTTGGTTTATGGTGGTCGTAAAACTCAGTCTGAGCTGTCTTAAGTCAGTCTTTGTCTCGTCTAGATGTTCAGACATAATGAAACATGCTGCGCTCTCTCCAGCAGCAAACATGAAGCAGCAAATGGGGTTAGAGAGTAAACATGGAGTCTTGGTTCTCTTAAACTGTGGAAAAGGAGTACAATACATTTATATGCACAGTTATGTTGAGCTACGGTTACAGCTCGACTAGGCCATTTAATTAGACTACTGTCCTTGTCCCAGTATACGAGCACGGAAGGGGAATCAATTTATTTACTGAAGAATGTCCGACTCTGCTATGATGGGTGGCAATATGCCTCCTTTCAGCTTGTTAGTCTAGGACCTTTTTCCCGTTGACCTATTACGTCACAGACTAAATAATTGACAAACACGGGTAGCTAGCAACAAACTGGTATCATGGTGGACAACTTTACAGCTCTGTAAATTTTGTACGTGCTGTACACTCTTTCAGCTGCCACAGCATGAACTGTATCTCCTCCTCCGTTCTAAAATGCACGGCTCTGGATGTAGATTTCACCATGTTGTTACCAGCTCCTTCTTAATGCTATTCAACTGCGGGGTGGAAACTCTTGAGTATGCGCAGAGCACCTTGGCCAGTTTGGGTCTGACTGACTGTATACATGCTGGAGTAATTCGTCTCCCAGTCGCATCATCCAGGTGTGTTAGTTCAACTTTGAGAATTTGATTTTTAGTACGATTTCAGTGAGACTAACATGTTTGCATGTTTTTTAAAAGTCCGCTTTTAGTCAAGTGTTCAGTTAAGCCTGCATCTGATCCACCAACTAACACTTATTATAGTGAGTAACCTTAATTTTTAAAAATGTGTCACCTCTCATACCCACAGTCTCCTTTCCACTAAAATATTGCAGCTAATCAACAGAGCGAGTTGAGGCAACAAAATCCAAACTGTAAAGTTTGTGTGCCGAATTAACAAGAACACTGTCAACATATGACAGCTTTTATCTTGTGTTTCTAGAGTTATACGTTTTTGCAGACACATGAGGAATTGTTAATATGTCATATTTCTGAAAGGGAGTTTGGGGTAACATTTTAGACCAGAAGCAGAATGGGAAATAATCTTAAAAGGAATCCCAATTGAAGTCATGCAAATAGTGACCCTGCAGGATCCCCAGTCTTTGCAGAATCGTATGGTGTGTGACTAAAAACACACATTGTCTTTAGATGTGAGAGGGTGTCAGGCTTTAAAAGTTTTAAGTGTATGATAGGCATCAGTTGCAGACATGAAAAAAAATGTTTTTCTAAAGTGTTGAATGAAGTAGGCTGCAGCTGATTTAAATCTGGCCCTTCAGCAGCCCTCCTCTCATTTCAAGGTCAGTAATTCAGCACACCCCAAATGGGAGACCCAGGGGTGCTGCTAATTATGGGGACATCCCATCAGGTCTGTACTATAACCACATCGCTGTCGCTCAAGTTGACACAGAAATCTGCCCTGTTTAGAGAGACTGTCACACAGTCCCTCATAGTTTGATTTGCAGCCAGCGTTTTCTCAGGTGACGCCTCCTGCC